GACGAAACAGTTTGTCACAGCCCCTCGTTTGTTGTCCTCTTCTCTCTCTCTGCCTACGGTTTACCGGGCAGTTCTATTTGTGACGATATATATATATATATTTTTTTTTTTCACAGGGTGCTGACGACCCCCGACCGATAGGTGCAGACCAGCAGATCGGTCGGCTGGTCAGCAGCCGACCAGTCAAGGGCGGCCGACCGCCGGGGGGTGCAGCACTGGTCAGAACTGTTTTGTGTGCAATCGCACGTTATCATTGGGATTTCTTTGTTTGGTTCGTCCATATCATTGGGGAAAGAGGAAGGGAAGGAGGAGGAGACATGGATGGCGAGGAAGGGGAGGACACGAGGAAGGAAAGGAGACGAGGAGGCATGGGAGATGAGGAAGTACGAGGAGGAGGAGACGAGGAGGATGAAGAAGGGCAGGAGGAGGACGAACAAGAGGAAGAGGACGATTTGGAGGAGACGAAAAAGAGAAGGGAGGAGGAGACATGGAGGACGAGGAAGGGGTGGAGGCGCGAGGTGAGGCAGCACTCCAAAAAGAAATTCATCCCGCTTATAATTTTGGGGGGGGGCCTGGAATGCACCGTTTCGACCCTCGGCCTTTTTTCTTCCGAGGGGGGTGACTGGTCGTTCGCGGCACTCGTCGTGCGCCGCACGGGATCGGTTGGGCGGCGTGCGCTGCATGTCGGCAACGGCTCGCACGAGGTGCGCTTGCAAGTATGGTACCCACTGTTATCAGCATGCTGTGGAACCTTTACCTTTCTCCTTCAACAGAATAAAAGGAGGAAACTGGAGAAGAATGTTTCCTTGTGTCCTCAGTATCCTCCTGCCTGCAGTGTTTTATTAGGCTGTTCCTTCACGTTTGTTTGTGAATGCGTCCTTTGTTTTGCAATTTTTAATAACATGGCACTATTGCTAACTGCGTTGTCCATTCAGAGATTGACAAGTTGGTACACGCGTTTACCGTTTGTTTCTGTGAGGCTACACGTGTTGGCGAGCTCCTAGAAGGAAGTTTAGCCTTTGTTTGTCTGAGGCTCTAGGCCTTGGCAGCCCCTAAAAAGACCACATGCACAACCCGGTCCCAAGAGAAGGCCACGGGAAGGAAAAATTAGGCTGGCCCTAGCTGGAGGCCATGCCTGTGTACATTGGGAAGAGTATGCACAGCCCCAATCCATGTAACCACCCGGTGGGTCCAGCCTGTGAGTTAGTTACATGGGTGAGAACGCGGACCAATGCTGGTAGGGAGTACAGACTGCCTACTGGGATCCATCCCCTGGGTTCCAGCAGAAAGGAAGAGGTGGTGGGGGGAAGCAGATATTCTTACATTGGCAGCATGTGGCAGCGCTGGGGCAGCGCCTGCCAGCAGATATTCTTACATTGGCAGGATGTGGCATCGCTGGGGCAGCGCCTGCCATAGCTGGGCACCGTTGAGTAGGAAGCTCGGTGGTGTGTGTTGGGGAGATCAAGGAAGCCAAGGATGGCAGTGGGAGCTGGGGGTACTTATGGTGTTGACCAAAGAGCACGGCAGGATCTGGGGGTACTTTACTGGTGTTGACCAAGGGGCACGTGTGTGAGATCAGACTCTTCAGCAGCATCTGGCAAGAGGATCAACGGAGAGAGTGAGGAGTTGGGTAGTGTGTGTTGGTAGAGTGGGAGAGTAGTATAGGTGGACCCATCATAGTAGGGTAACTACCTTGGTTTTGTATGGATTATTGGAAGCAAGGAGAGGGCTTCCTTTGTCACAAGACTTCACTGACCAGTGTGCTCTTAATTGTTGTGTTCTCGGCTTTTGTAATTTTGCTTTCAAGTTGGCTTATACTGATGATTGGTCATCTGCTCAGTCGTTGCTTCCTTGCATTTCTTTTTTCTTTTCAATTACAAAAATGTAGGAGAAAATGAGGAGAGTGACCAAGGTTAAGCACGAAGGGGCAGATCAGCTGAGTAGTAGTATCTTTGTACCTACCAACCTGCACTCCACCCCCTCTTGTTGACCTGTGCTTCGGTTGAAGCTGCAGTCTTGAGTCCCAAAAGTTTTTTGAACATAAGTCTATTGTGGTAACCATGTGTGCATGTATTCAGTCTGTCTTCCTATTTGCGTTTTGAAAAATTGACAGGTACTCCTCACACCGACTCACCTTGCAATTGCGATGGAGTACGCTGCAGGTGGAGAGTTGTTTGAACGAATCTGCAGCGCTGGAAGGTTTACCGAGGATGAGGTATGTATGCATTGCGTTTTGTGCCATTTAACTGCATGCTCATCGTAATATCAAAACATTGACGAGTAAAAAAAGGTGACGTGTGACTGATTGTTAGGTTTCGTCTTTGTTGTCTGGTGCAGCTCATTCCACTCTGCTGGTGCAAACGTGCTGGGGATGGTGTGGGCGGCATACGATTGTTCGAAACATACTGATGTGGTCTTTTCTCATAAACCGCCAGTTTGTGGAAGGTGATTGCAGAGTGGAATGAGCGGCACTGGCAGCAAGAGGGCTAGGATATGTCATAGCACTTTGGACTTTGGAGCATGAGGTGCCTCTCCTTTTCGTTCTGAAGAAGTCTGATAAAATTTGAATGTCCTCTGACAATCTACTATATCTATTGTAGAATCCTTAAGTTGAACGACCACGGTGGTGTTTCTCTTACTCGGTTCCTACTGTCATCATGACTTTGTGAATTGTGCCTCCGATCGCTTTCATCTGAAACTGGGTGAACTGAAATTGGAGAGTGTGTGCGGCATACGATTATCCGAAACATCACTGATGTGGTCCTTTCTCATAAACCGCCAGTTTGTGGAAGGTCGTTTGCAGAGTGGAATGAGCGGCACCGGCAGCAAGAGGGCTAGGATATGTCATAGCACTTTGGACTTTAGAGCATGAGGTGCCTCTTCTTTTCGTTTTGAAGAAGTCTGATAAAATTTGAATGTCCTCTGACAATCTACTATATCTATTGTAGAATACTTCAGTTGAATGGCCACGGTGGTGTTTCTCTTACTCGGTTCCTACTGTCATCATGACTTTGTGAATTGTGCCTCCGATCGCTTTCATCTGAAACTGGGTGAACTGAAAGGTGTGGTGTGTGTTGAATCCTCTGGTTCGTGTTCAGCCCTGCAATGGATTCCGCGTGAGAGAAAGAGAAGAGGAGGGAAAAAAGAAAATGAGTAAGGGAACAGTGTACACGAAAGAAAAGATCCAAGCCCAATGGAATTGAAGAAACATAAAATCAGAGTGCTTGGAGCAGATGCTATCAGAGTGGCTGAATTGAACATCCTGATTATGTGAGTGTGCTGCTGAAGTCGGGTTGGCCCTGGGATTAAATCGCCAACATGGTTGTACTCAAGTTCAAATAGTGAAGCTGTTTGAATAAAGACTACAATGCTGCCTTCCTTTGAGAGTGAAGCTGTTTGAATAATCGACAATGCGGCCTGCCTTGGAGTTGGACCATCTCTTGATTTATTCGTGTCATCCTTGCGCAGGGGCCATACTAATCTTCTCTGTATTGTTCCAATTTTAACGGATGTCCCGAAGGACAATCGGCTTCCTTTTCTTTTTTTTCTTTTTCTACTTTTTTAGTCGTGCAAGGAATATGAGCAAGAGCAATAGACAGAAAACCAAATTGCAATATCACGCCGATGACCAGACAGCCGTGTACCAAGCAGAAAGCACAATGCAAACAAGCCAAATAAGAGCAATGGAATGAACTCAAATGTCAATGTCGACACTCTCTCGCAACACCAACACAGTATCGAATGTCACTCTTCTTGATTGGCGCTCATCGCTCAGCCTATCCTACTTGGCAACTATCTAGCCTACCACTACGTATATGCAACAGGAGTCACTTCTAGCTGACGACCAATGTACGTGACAACGTGGCCAGTGAAGACTGCCAGCATACACCACGTACGTATCTCTTCTCCTTTCCTCACCCCTGTCTTCCTACAGTATGCACCCCCATTCCGAAGACCACCATTGCCCACCAGCATCCTGGCGAGCAGGCCTGGCTATGGCCGATCGCGCTTGCTGCCAATGCAGCGCCCATCTCGCCTCTTAGTGCCCTCCTGCACCCTGGCTTGCCAGCGCACTCCAGTGAAGCAGCGTGGCCGCCCGCATAAGCGAAGCCGGAATGTCCCTCTGGCTGGGTGCTCGCTTCCTAATGGAAAGTGAGCCCGGCCTCTGCCTGGCCTGTGCCTGTGCCCAGTAGCTTGCCATTGGGCCAAGGTGTCTGTGCCCAGGCCCATTCAGACACTGGCCTGCGCCTGCAGCAGTTAAGCTGCCCAACTGTGCGATGTGGCTGCTTTCTGATTGGCCATCGGTTCTCCAGCCACATCGCCGCGTGTTTCTCATTGGTGGAGAGGCCAGCCTCCTTGCAAGCCCACAAGATCCTGGAAGGCTCACGGAAGATTCTGATGCTGGCGGGAAGGGCATGTGTAACAAACTGGCACGTGGAAACGGAATGGGGCCCTTCATGCAGAAATGACAAAAGTAGGGCCCCGTGTTGGAATTCAGGCCCGCCTTCACTTTGGGCGGGCACATTACTTGCTGGGGGCCCTTCGGGCTGGCAGATTCCACGGCCTCAAGTCCTCTGCGAGGGCAGATTCCTCACATTCTTAAAAAAAACACTATATTCTTCTCTCCATTATACCTCACACTACCTATCCACCCATATCAGCCAGGAGAACTCAACTAGATGTCTGAATATTCCACTAGGGTGAGGCCCCGGGTGAGGGGTGGAGGGGATGAAGGAGATAGCGCTACCAAGACCAACCGGGGGGCAAACCTGCTATTTCAGCTGGTGAACCTGCAGCGCACCGTAGGAGGCTGTGGGGGTTGGAATGCACGGCCTCCTGGATCCTGCCTTTGTGCTCTACGAACTGAGCTAGACCACTGGCTCTTTGGCTTCCTTTTCATTTTTCCCTGTCAGGGGACTTGGAAAAGTGGCAGGGTGTTGAACTCTGTTTCGTATTTTCCGTGCTTATGACACTGTGCATTCACGACCAACCCTGGATCCTGCTGGATCCTGCTTTTGGCCGGATCATCCTACAGAGTGTGAATAGGTCACACTGGGACTTCCTGGGCTTGTCTTGCAATGTGTGGTACAAAGAACACACACACGCACCACCACCACCAGTCTTTCCACCTACATCTACAGCCACATCATCATCCCCTCTGTCAACAGCCTCTTCTTCCTCATCCTCATCCTCCTTGCAGGCCTCCCCTACGTTATCGCCTTCATCATCAAAACATTTGCGGTTGGATTGGACGTTACAGAAGTGTAGTCGGCGGATGCATTCATGGTCAGATAGGCCATCACAGAGAGATTCCCAATCTCCACCTCCGCTTCCTAGACAGCAGGCGGGCCCATTTGTACTCTACCAGAATGATCATCGGATCCCCGACGGGGATTAGAGATCTACTCCGCTACCATGCTCGCAACCGTACTGACCTACATCATCCCCTTCGTCAACAGCCTCTTCTTCCTCATCCTCATCCTCTCACATGCCTCCCCTTTGTCATTGTCTTCATTTTTGTCATTGTCTTCATCATCAATACATTCATGTTATGGATGTCTAATCGGCGGATGCATTCATGGTCAGATGGGCCATCACAGATGCCTAAATTTACACTAGCCAGAAATAGTACATACCGAGCCTGATGCCTACAATGTGGTGAGAATTTTTATGGTGCTGCAGGGTGCATATGCACCAGACACCAGCTGCAGCCACCTGTGCAGCATTCCCACGACTTGCAGACACTTCTGAGCACAGGTGCGGCTGATCGACCTCTGCCTCTTGCATCTGACCCTTTTACTTCTCATCCACCTAGCCCCGATTGCTCCTCCGCTCCAACTGAGAATTATCCATCTTTTGCTCATTTGATGGAGACCCTGACTGGAGACCTCTCTCCGAAAGACGTGCTGGAGCCAATGGATTCGATACAACCAGAGGAGCCTGACAGAAACTGTCAAGAAGGGAATAAACCTCCCCTTACCATGCAATCTGTTTAAACGAACCTTCCACTGCCATGCAATCTGCAGAATAAGATGAGATCATAGTGCTACAACAAGCCCACTGTGCGTACTATGCATTAGTATGCAATTAACAGACGTCTCCTTACAATTTGGTATCGGAGCTGGCTCGTAGGCACTTGGCATTTGCTGCCGGCAAGACAGGTTGATGCGGTGTGCTCGCCGGGTGACCAGCAGTGTGATCACGTTTTCGCTGGAAGTCACCGTGCACGAGGTAGTGCGGGCATGGAGAGAAGGCTATAATTAGGGATTTGATTCTTTAATATGGGGATCAAATTCAAAGGTTATCACCTGGAACTAGAGGTTGCAGTGTTTTATCAAGAACATCTGAAAGTTCTAGAAAGGTTGTGCAAGCCAGTAAAAACAGAAGGCCTGAGGAGGGCGATCTCCTGGGGGTTGAGTGTAACGAGTTCTCCTGGGAAGAAGGTATTAACTCGAAAGCTGCTGCGAGTCTGCTTTAGTCCTTGGGAAGTACTTGAAGATTGGGATGGACTAGCCTATGTGATAATCCCACCACCACATTCTAGGACATATGCAGTCTTCCATGCATCTGCCCTGCTCAGAAGACGACGACTTCCCTGGTCGTCAATCCATGATACCACCACCTATGGACAAAGGGTATGTAGCCGAAAAAAGCTTAGCGCACGTCTTCTTCTCCACAGGGGGAAGAAGAAAGCCTTAGAAATAGTGTAAGGTGAAGTTTAGCACTGAACCTGAATCAAAGTGAATGATTCAATAAGAAGGAAGTTCAAGGAACCAATGTGTACTGCTGCAGACATTTTTGCAGGTTATGAAAGAGGGTTAGAAGGAATTGGACAAGTTGTAACTGATGAAGAGTGAGATTTCTGCGATGGAACTTGGAATTGGGATAGCTAGAAGGAAATGAAGTATTTCGATATCTGCACAGAAATAGAGCAGCATCCTAGCTTTTGATCCACTTCGTAGTCAGGTGTCAAAAGTCACTTCCACAGCCCTAGAATAGTGCCAGAATGTCCTAATGTGAAAGGGTACTGGGTCGAGCCCGAGGCCTGTAGTAGACTTCAGGAAACTCAACAGTCAGGCCCAGTTTGAGTATAGTAGATCAAAGGTCAAGGATTTGTCATAAGTCAACCCGGTCACATATCTCACACACTTCCAAGGGCGCAGTGCAGTTTCCAGGAGTTTTGAGGGTCCACTGGGTCGAGGCAGGCATTGGCCA